CATTTCAGATCTGTGCTTCTGGGTTCCGCAGTCTGAGTGGACTTTATAACCAGTGCTCGCGGCGACGTTGGTTGGTTCCCCTGGATCTCGACACCTAACGGGGGTGAGAACCGCCGAGTTGTCATCTGTGTCCGGGCAGAAGGAGCTGACACAGGTCAGGAGCTGGAGAAGTGAAACTGAGGACAGGGGATCCCAGCGCTGGGCGTCCCCACCCAGGACCTCACCTCCTGGGACTAAGACTTTGTCTGACCCTGTGCTGCGGACACAGCGCTGTTTGTCCTGGTGTCTCTGAGCCGCCTAAGGCCAACTGCTGGTCAGGTGACTCAGGATGAAACCTAAGAGCTTGACGTTTCTGGGTAAAACACACGCAGCACTTAAAATGAATGTTCACTTAAACAGGTGCTGTCGCAGTCCCGGTGAGTGCGTGGGGCCGCCGTGGACACTGCATGGGAGGTGACTGGAGTTTTACAGCTCTGGTCAAGTCCTTCTGACACACTGTGTCATATGTGACTCTCCGTGCAGGAAGCAGTCCCTACTCTCCTCTGCTTTCACTTTTTACTTCAGTTATGTGTGGCTGGGATGTGAAGATATCAAATGAAAATGCACTGAAACAAAAAAATTATAAATTTGATTTTACTCCACACTACTGAACAGTAGAATAAAGTTCAAATCCTGTGTGTGTACCTCGGCGATGAGAATCAACCTGTGTCCAGTGTCCACACTGCAGAGGAACCCAGGAGCCAACACGGTTATCAGATCCAGTATCTCACAAACCTGTGACATTCGTCTCCCTCATCTCAATAGCTCATAAAGTGTTAGTGAAGAAGGTCTCAGAGAGAGAGAGAGAGAGAGAGAGAGAGAGAATGAGAGAGTCACAGGTTATATGCCTTCTAACACACTATCATCATTATTTTCTTTATAGTTAGTTACAGTTCCTCTCTTACTGTGTTTATTCACTAAAGCAACTGTGCCATGGAAGTGTGTGACACAGGGAAACATGGAGTGTAGACAGCATTAGTGTCCTGCTGTATTTGTTCTCCACTTAGTCTCTCCCCAGTGGAGAAGGGGTCCACTGTGCTGAGACGATGACCCAGGTCCACACAGACAATCTCAGGACTATGGAGTGAAGACCCTTGTAAAACACAACCACCTGGAGCCACAGATGGTCATCTGGAAAAAACACCAGGAGTCTGAGTGTAAGCACAAGGCTGTGTAGACAGGATCCTGAGTGAAGAGGCAAAGTCTCTATTTACAGGGGAGATTCCTGAGCATCAGGCTTGGCAATGTGAGCGCCCCCTGCAGGTGGACACAGGAGCCTGGTGTCTGTGGGAGTCTGTGTGGTGCTTGCCAGCCAGAGCTTCTACTTTAAAGAGAAGCATCTCTCTCCCCTGTATCCCAACCTGAGTGTTGCCATTGTATTCCTGGAAGTGACTTTTCTTCTGGAAAAGGGTCTGACTTCTGAAGAGAAGGCAGAGGAAGGATGAGGAGAGGAGAAAATGTTTTGAGCTTTGGATCTCTCCTGGTGTTTTTGTTTTGTTTTTGAGACAAGGTCTGTCTCCTCCATTCTGGGGGTCCTGAAACGTACTGTGTAGACCAGGCTGGTCTTGAACTCACAGAGATCCACCTGTGTTTTCATTCAAATTCCTGGGATTAAAGATTTGTGTCACCACACCTGGCTTTAGTTCCATTTCTATGGCTGTGATAAGACACTGTGACACCTACAAATTATAAAAGGAAGTGTTTAATTTAGTCTTACATTTTCAGAGGGTTTGAGTCCATGATGGCAGAGGAAAGGTGTGGTGACAGGAACAGCTGACAGCTCACATCTTGTTCCCCAAGCAAGTGTTAGAGACACTGGGAATAGTGGGAATCTTTTAAAACCTCAATGTCCAGCCCCAATGACACACCTCCTCCAACAAGGCCACACCTCCTGATCCTTCCCACACAATTCCATCAACTGGAGCTGAATCCGTCTGAACCTCTGAACCTGTGTGGCCATTCTCATTCAAACAGCACAGTATTCAGTGTGGCATGTGAGATGCCCTGCAGGACTCTGCAGATGTGTCCCTGAGATGTGTAGACAGCACCCTCAACTTAGGAGGACCCCACTGCATTAGGATCTCACCTTTTTTTTTCTGTCACCTCCTGCCCAGCCCTTCTCTGTCTCCTCAGGCCTCACCCCATCAGTGCCCAGCATGTCTCACTTGAGCTCTGCACTAACTCTGTCTCTTCTTTTGCATCCAGTTTCTGTGGTCAGCCATCTTGTCAGCCATCTTGTCAGCCATCTTTCTGTGAGCCAGGCTGTGTGGTTTCCTTCTGTAAAAGCCCCAATAGGGGCTGGAGAGGTGGCTCAGGAGTTAAGAGCACCTGTTGCTGTTGCAGAGCATCCAGGTTCAGTTCCCACCACACACGTGGTGCTTCACAACCATCTATGACTCCAGTTCCAGGTGATTCAGTGCCTGGTCGTCCTGCATACTCATATATATATATATATATATATATATATATATATATATATATATCAAATAAATCTAGTAAAAACAATATTTTAAAAAATCCCATTTAAAAACTGCTTGAAGAGCTTCATCCCTCTCTCCTAGAGTGTGCCACCTAGGGGCTGAGGGCACAGGGCTATTTAGTCAACACTGAACCAGTAGCCAGTGAAACCAGAGCTGGAACAGGACAAGCAATGATGACTGAAATAGACTGTGCTGAAATGAACATTAGCAAAACAGCCTAAAACTAAAAACACAGAAAGATTTCATTTTGTGGGCCTACTGTGCATAGTGGACCACGGCCTCATTCCAGGAAGAAGACACTGTGTATGCTCTTCCGTGCACTTGAGCCCTGTGCTGGTTGTTGATTGCTGATGAACAAGAGACCTTTCAGCCAGTCACTTAAGTAGTCACTTGTAACAGGCTATGACATCCCCAACATGCCAAGAGTCCCTGCAGCCAGTGATGTCCCCTGTCCCCTCATTTTCCCTCCCACGTGAGTTCCTCCAGGGTCTTGTCTTTTTAATACAAAAGGGAAGCATCAGAGTCTATGGCAATAGTTCAATCCTTTAGAGAAAAGAAAACCAGGTGTCTATGTGAGCCCACAGAGGATAAAGTTAAAGAGAAGGAACCATGGCCAGCTGAGCTGCTCCATGACACACCCCCCCCAACACACACACCACTGTGAGGGTCTCAGTCTGTCTTGCTCTCATCAAACTTACAGCAGATAGAAATTTCCACTCTTTTTTTACCTGTGGGAAGAAAACTCCCTGCAAGAGGGTAGGGAAAATGCAGAGCCCTGAGGGCCAAGGCTTGGCACTAGGGGACTTTCCAGAACTCTGAAACAGACTGTGATATCTATTCTGGTTTGTCACCATGACTATATCTGAAATTGACTAAAACCCAAAACTGGAGGGTACACCTGTGAGGGATTGTGTGTGTGTGTGTGTGTGTGTGTGTGTGTGTGTGTGTGTTTAATTTGAAATGGGAAGATCAACTTCTGATCTGGATCTTTGAGGAAGAACGATAAATACAGTTGAACTTTCTTTGGACTGCCAACTTCTGAATAATGACAAGGAGACTTTTTACTAATTATGAAAATTGGGCCATAGCTTAGGCTTGTTGCCTGCTCACTCTTAAAACTAAATTATCCCTTTATATTAAACTGTGTTCTGTCACTTGGCTCAATACCTCTCCTCACTAAGTCTAACTTACACATCCTCTGGCTGGTGAATACCCCCTGCCTTTGATTCCTTCCCAGAGTTTCTCTCTCTGCCAGGAAGTCCCCCATGTTGTCCTGCCTAGGTATTGCCTATTTAGCTCTCTGTTAAGCTAATCTGAAGTTCCTTTGGCAAGTGAGGAAGGACAGAAACACATTTTACAAAAAGATCCTACTAGACAAACATTTAATCCCCATATTTGGAGAAAGAAATATCGGTCCCTAATGTGAGCCACATGATCTACTGAAAATCTATATAAGGACATGGAAGAAGGAAGCTTTTGCTTTTTGCTTGCTTGTTCTTGCCTTGCTAGACTGTCCATTCCTTCATGGCATTAGAACCTACTTCTTTGGGAATCGAGCATATACTGAAGACCAGCTGAGCCAGGAGGTGAATGAACTGAGGAGTGACCATGTCACAGCTGACAATAGACTGAGCTCCATCTGGGCACAGCCCTGTGCACACTCAGCTCCTACAATCCCATCCTGTCCCACAAGATATACACAGCATGATGAACACATATCTGGGAGGTTCTCCATGCTGCTATTCATTTCCTCCACAGCATCTAAGTATCTCATGAAGTTATTTAACAGCCAAAAAACCTGGCAGATCAAGGATGAGAACAATCAAGTTCAAATTGAGATCCTTATTTTAGTGGGGAAGTCAGGGGTGCAGCTCAGGACAGCACGGATGTGACAGGATGGAGATGTCCCTCCTGTCTGCTTAAACAGAACAATTGGCTGTGGAAGGGACACAGGCAGTGCAGAGACAGGGTCCTGGTGTGCAGGGCTGTGCTGGGCTCCCAGTTCTTCACATTGAGCTCATAGGATCACAGAGAAAATCAGACACTGAAGCCAAGAGTGAACTGAGTGACCCTGGATGTCACAGGAGAGACCTGAACACACTGTCTTTCACTCCATCCATGCTAGGCAGCTGTCTTCACACTACCTGAATAAGAGTCATGAACAATCACTGTGAAGACAACATCCCAACAATCCACCACTCACTCACAAGTGATTCTGGGAGTCCCTGAAACCTAATCATGACCACTTTGCTCTCCCCAAACACAAATGAGGTCCCAGAGTGTCACCTTCACAGTCTGGGAGAGACACATCAGAACTCTGGGAACTGTCTCTGAAGTTCATATTCATAAGAAGGTAAAAACAAGGCCCCTAGAAGATTTTGCTGGAGAAGCTAATAAAGGTTAGAAGAGCTCCACAAATACTCCAGGTCCACCACAAGGGTCTAAGGGACAATCCTGCTCCCTTACCTTTAGCTGGAGCATAGTTCCCTCCTTGTCCACCTGTGAGAAGAAAAGCTGCCAGAGGCCAGGGAAGAGCCTGTACCTAGGAATTTTCCATAACCTTCAGAAGACCCAGGTCAGACACAGGAGCAATGGGGGTTGTGGATGTGTTTCCATGAGGCAGAGCACACTTCTAAAAGGTGCTGAGAGAGAACTTAGACCCTGCCCTTTCCTACCTGTGTTTCTCCTCCTCTTCCTCACAACAACCACCACAGCTGTAATGATGGTCACAACTCCAAGGAGAACCAGAGCAGCAATGACTGCCATGATGGGAACAGTGGACTGAGGAGGAGGCTCTGGGAAGGGAAGGACAGGAAGGGCAGGTGAGGGTCATGAGCCCAGCTCTCAGCCCTGACCCTGCTCAGGCTCTGCAGAAGACTCCAGCTTTCCCTGACCCCAGCTCTGTACCCCCTCCCTCCTTACCCCATCTCAGGGTGAGGGGCTCAGGAAGCCCCTCAGGGTACACATGGCATGTGTATTTCTGCTCCTCCCCAGAAGGCACCACCACAGCTGCCCACTTCTGGAAGGTTCCATCCCCAGAAGGTCTGGTCTCCACCAGCTCCATGTCCTGAGTCTGTTCTTCCTCCTCCTTCTGCCAGGTCAGGGTGGTCTCAGCAGGGTAGAAGCCCAGGGCCCAGCACCTCAGGGTGACATCACCTTTAGGTCCAGGATGATGGGTCACATGTGCCTTTGGGGGATCTGTGTGGAAGATTTAAGAAATCCCACAATAACAAGATAAACTGAAATCTGCAAAGACAAAGTTAAATCAATGATGACACTGAACTATGTGTCTCAACACTTCTGACTGTCATCACACTGGTGACCTGCAGGGGGCGCTGGTCCCCGCATCACTGATCGGCACATTTTTCAGGGGGACCCAGAAGCTAAAAGAATTTCATGAACCAGCAGGTGACATGGTCTTCCTTATGTGATGCTCTATAGCGTAAGTTAGGTGGTAAAAGAATGGAAAAAGGGATGGAAAATAATTAATTTATATATGTGATTTAATATATGCCATAATAAGAAATAAGGGGCACAAATTACATAATTGGTGCCACCAACTACTGCTGATACCCTTGAGGCACAACTACTGTGGCCATCTTGCTGACCACCAGCATTACTGTCTGTCCAAGTGAACAGCCATCGCCAAAGTATGCAGCAGAAATAGTGTGAATCTCTGACACTCAAAGAGAAAATGACTCCCCAAACCCTGTCTCTGTGGGGACAGAATGCAAGGTGTGGTCAGTCACCCAGGATCCCTGGAAATAGCTGTGGAGCCTAGTGCAACACTCACTGTGACACAGCGGTGCTCACACGGGTGTGTGGGTTTTCCCTGTCACTCCACTCCTTGAGTTGCAGAAGCCCCAGTGTGTGAGGAAGTTCAACTCCTAATTCACTGGGGCAACATTGTAACTTGTTGGGACTGAGGGAGAGCAGGGGGCTCTGGATGGTTAATTCTGGTAGAAAATAGTTGAAATCATCAGAATTTTTCTCCTTTAAAGGGAACACCGACTTAAGTTGTCTAATTATCCAGAGCATTAGTCCCCATGACACCTGTGGAGACTGATACCCATGATAGTACAAAGGGAGGAAGAGAAGCAATAGCACCATAGGGTGGAAGAAAAACTAAATAAAAGCACAATGGCAACTTCAAAAAAAAAAAAGAAGGAAAGAAAGAAAGAAAAAAAGAAAGAAAGAAAGAAAGAAAGAAAGAAAGAAGAAACCCCACAATTTGGAATTTTCCCAGAGCACCCTATAAGTGCTCACGAGACCATTCTAGGATGAGATAGAATTGGGGTGAGGGAGGGGTGCAAACCTCACCCACAGGAATCTGGGAGAATGTATTCTTTGGAAAGTTCTAGAAACTGGGGAACCAGCCTTGGGTAGGGACATCCACGTCTCCCATCAGGTACAGGAGACTTCCGGTCCTGGTGTGTAAGGCTGACACACTCAGACACCGGGTGTGGGCAGAGAACCCGGCCTGGGAGAGGCCATGGCTGGCAGAGGGCTGCCGACTGAGGAGCCACTGCTGGGGTGTGGGCATCTTCTCTCCTGCCCTCCTGAGATAGATCTGGAACCGTCCAGGGAGAAGGCTGAGCCCTGGGAGATGAGTGCAGCCCCTGCCAGGCTGGATCAGGAGCCCCAGGGCCACTGCGTCCCCTCAGAGACAGGGGCGTGACCCCAGCTGAGGGTCTCTTCTTCCTCAGGACTGAGCCCAGCCCGAGGGCAGAGGGAGGAGATGCCCGCTGCCCCTGCACCTGTGCGCAGCAGCTGGTCCTTCCGGTACTCCAGGTATCTGCGGAGAGACTCCACGCACGTGCCCTCCAGGTAGGCCCTCATTGTTTCTGCAAAATTAGCCTCGTCCCACTTGCACCGGGTGATCTGCACCACCTTGTCCGCCGCCGTCCACGTCCTCAGGTCCTCGTTCAGGGCGACGGTACCCTGACGGTACCCGCAGAGGAGGCGCCCATCCGACCCCACCTGACAGCCATACATCACCTGGATGGTGTGAGAGCCTGCCAGAGCAGGGAGATGCGGTCAGCCCCGCCCACTTGCCCCTCCCCACGGCTCCGCCCACCGCGCATCCTCGGAACTGACAGAGAAACCAGTGCCAGGTCCCACTCTCCTCCTCTCGGACCTCGGACTTGGGACCAGGGGCGACTCTGGCCCTTACGTGGGGACGTGAAGGTCGTGACCTCCGGCCCGGGGGTCACTCACTGCCCTCGCTCTTGTTGTAGTAGCCAAGCAGGGTCCTCAGGTTCCTTCGGTTAATCTCCTCCTTGTTCTTGGCGATCCGCGTCTGCCCCTCCCAATACTCCGGCCCCTCCGGCTCCATCCACGGCGCCCGCGGCTTCATCCTCGGATTCTCCGCGTAGCTGTCGAAGCGCACGAACTGCGTGTCGTCCACGTTTCTGACGACAGTGAACCGGGGCTCCCCGAGGCCTGGACGTAGCCGACAGAGATGTACCGGGGCTCCCCGAGGCCGGGCCGGGAGACGGTGGTGTGGAAATACCTCAGCCAGTGAGAGCCTGGGGGCGGCGCGCGGTGAGACCCCGACCCTCCTCCCGGGACCCCGGGCGGGCGCGCGGGCCGGGAGGGGAGCAGGGCGCGGGGCTCGGGACGCGGGTGGGGACGGGGCGGGAGGGTCTGGCTGGGCGATGCGGGGACGCGGCTTCCCCGGTGCCGCCCCCGCCCTCCCCGCAGAGCCCGTTTCCCTCCCGACCCCGCTCTCACCCGCGCGGGTCTGGGTCGGGGCCAGGGCGGCCGCCAGCAGCAGGAGCAGCGCGCGGTGCCACCAACCCCATCTCGGATCTGGGCGTCCGGGTTCCGCGGTCTGCATGGACTTTATAACCAGTGCCCGAGGCGGCTCTGGTTGGTTCTCCAGGATCTCGACACCCAATGTGGTGAGAACTGCCAAGTCTTCACCAGTGCCCGGGCAGAAGGAGCTGACACAGGTCAGGAGCTGGAGAAGTGAAACTGGGGACAGGTGAACCCCAGCGCTGGGCTTCCCCACCCCAGACCTCACCCGCCAGGGACTAAGACTTTGCTGAAAACACTTAAAATTGGAATAAAGTGATAAGAACGCAGCTTTACAATAGCTTGGGGCTAATGGAAAGGCCGGATAATTCATCCTGTTTGAAAGCTGGGACTTCATCTCAGAGTCCTCGGAACTCCACAGGAGGTCTGTGGGAAAATTCAACTGAGAAGTTGAATTTTCTGCTTGCTGCCATGTAGCAAACCAGCAAAGCTCAGCCTCTGGAGACACCAAGCATTCATTACTCCCCACAGTGTGTGACCCCAAGAGTCCCTGGGTGATCCTGGCTTAGGACCTCTCCCAGGTCACAGTTCAGTTTTCTTTCTCTCTCTCTCTCTCTTTCTTTTCTTTTCTTTCTTTTTCTTTTTCTTTCTTTCTTTCTTTTTTTTTTGTTTTTTCGAGACAGGGTTTCTCTGTGTAGCTTTGGAGCCTGTCCTGGCACTCGCTCTGGAGACCAGGCTGGCCTTGAACTCACAGCGAGGCCACAGTTCAGTTTTCATCCTGCTGTGTTTTTTTCTCAAGGCTTCAGGAGAGCCAGGGTTGCATGAGATGTGGCTTCCTCGTAGGCCAGCTGGAAAGGGCTCAGCTTCCTGCTGACTGTCCCCAGGAAATATTTATACTAGTCTGGGTCTTTGTTGAGACTGCCTTTGAGTCAGCAGCTGACTTCCCCAGAGGCAGAGTTTAATTAAGTAAAGGATGGATGGGGAAGAGGAGGAGGAGGAGGAGGAGGAGGAGGAGGAGGAGGAGGGAAAGGGAGACAGAAAGAATGTGCAACGTGCTCAATATCCAATCCCAGATCACAACTTACTGCTTCCTTCATTAGGGGAGGGGATGGGAGGGGAGTGAGCAGGTTCTGAACACCCTAGAGTGCCAAGTTCCTGCTACAACCTGTGTTCAGGTCGTGTGTGTGTGTGTGTGTGTGTGTGTGTGTGTGTGTGTGTGTGTGTGTGTGACATGTGAGTATATGCTTCTGTGTGTTTATATGTGTGTGTTCCACTCACTAGGCACTCTTCTTGAAGGTGCTGAATAATTACCTCAGCTTCTGCCCCTTCTGTGTGTTCTTTTTCACCCACATCATAAGACCTCCAATGGTAAAACATAAGATCTCAGCTCCAAGGGCAGCACCAACAATTGTCATGATGATGGTGGTGGATTGAGGAGGCTCTGGAAGAGGAAAAAATGAAGGGTGTAGAAGGGTGACTTTACCTTCAGGTCTGGGGTGATGGGCCACATGTGTCTTTGGAGGGTCTGAGGAGAAGAGTTGGAAAGTTCAAGTGTTTGCAGGGGACTCCAGCAGGGTCCCTGTGACCATCCTGGGATTGGTCAGAAATGGGGTGAGGGAGGGGTGAAAACCTCTTCTAGCTTAGACACAGGGTTCTGGATAATCTCAACTTTAGGAAATTCTAGATATGGGTGAGAGAGTCCAGGGTCACTGAACTCTGGTGTCACATCAGGAAAAAGGGACTTCTGCTTCTGACTGGTGAGTGGGGCTGATGGATTCAGCATCACTGAATTCAGACTCCAGAGACCTTGGGTGTGGGCAGAGAGCTGGGCCTGAGCAAGATGTGGCCCACACAGGACTGCAGACTGAAGGTTAACTGTCTTGGTCATTTCAGGGACCTTCTCTCCTTCTGTCCCAAGACACACTCTGAACTGTCCTGTCAGAAGCATGAGCCCTGGGAGAGCCAGTCCCTGGTAAAGGGTCAGGAGACCCTATTAAACTTTCCATCTCCCATATTTGAGAGATAGAGAAACAGGTCATTATTATGTGAAAAGGAGAGACATCCACAGTTTCTCCTAAAGCCAGGAAGGATTCAAGGATATACACTCTCCACCCTTGTATTTGATACAGTGGTGATTTTATATGAGCTGTCAATAGACAGAACTTTTGCATAAAAGGGATCAAAGTAGGAAAGGAAGAAGTTAACACTGTCCCTATTTCCAGACAGCATGATTTTTTTATATATATAAATGACCCTGTTGAGTCCATGGGAAACCTTGATGGGATATATATATCCCAGTTGGACTGCAGACAAGGGACTAGAGCCTCAGTTTACAGAGACTGCAGAAACTAAACACCAAGGAACTAACATTGTCGATTTACAAATGGGTGAGGGAACTGAATAGACAGTTATCTTTTTTTCCCCAATAGATTAGGAAGTTAGGGCAGTCACTAGTTTCAGCTAAAATACAGCCCAAATATATATATTTGGGGCAAACAGTTTACAAGTAATATAAGTCTGTAGGGGAAGCTGCAGCCACGCCTACTTAGGGGCTGGCTACAGGCGTGCCTGACCATGCTTGCGAGGGCGTGGTCAGGGTGATGTAGAGGACACTTTCAGGGGTCTGCGTTTCTCTTTCGGTTTCACTTTTGTACTTGCTGGACAGACTGCTGCCACGCCGGTTGGCTAGGTTGCTCTGTAAGTAAGGCTTTTCCCTTAATATTAAATACCCTTATATTTCTACTTGGCTCCGTATTGGTAATTTCCCACTATAGTAGGCCAGCTAGAAACTCATATAGGCAATGTTACCCAGAAATTAGATGCAAAGGTGCAAGATACCCAGGATAGGGTTGAAGAATTGGACAATGCCATTCAATCAATTATTGAAGCATCCAAGGTAGCAGATCAGAAATTTGAGTCTAGATTTGAATGTTTGGAAGATAATTTACAGTACAGGGCTGACAGATTACATAGGTCCATACGGTCCATTGCTGAGGACTCAAAATCAGCAAATCATGACATCGAATCTAGACTCCAATACCTAGAAGGCAGTTTCCATGCCATCCAGATGCTGCCTAAGGATAATCATATTAAAGACCTAGAAAAACATGTAAATGAGCAGTTAGAGCAATTTACAGATTCACTAACATGCTTGGAATCTTTTATGATTAAGGAGATTGAAACTTTTCATAAAGATATCATTACTAGGCTTAAAGATCATTGGGATACCTCAGAGGCAGAATCACTCCAATCCCAGGCACCTACCCCACCTAGGTATCATGACTATTCTTCTAAGGTTGTTACTTGTACACCATTAGTGTACCCAGCTACCATGGTAGAAAAGCCAACTTCTAAGAAACACGCTCATGGTCGGATGACTTATGAATGGCAACCTATACAGCTGAAGGATCTTAAGAATATTAAAGAATCAGTTGTCTCATATGGTCTCCATAGCCCATACGTAAAACAGCTATTACATTCATGGGCAACCTTTAACAGGGTGACACCCACAGA